ACAGACAAGAAAACTAAATAGTGGAAAGGAGATATCTACCTATCCTTTCTTTCTTGTTTGTTGTTTGTGTGTGTGTGTGTGTGTGTGTGTGTGTGTGTGTGTGTGTGTGTGTGTGAATACACACAAATATAAAATGTGTGTGTAAACAGATATAGATACCTCCTTTTCCACGTATGGGTGGGGTCAATATTTATATGTCTAGCCAGAGAAATGCAGAGCGTCTCCAATCTCCATTCAGCCAAATACTGAAATCCTAACTCAGGTTTTACTCAGTCGTCACTCAAGGATATTTATATAAATAAACCATCTGTGGTATATATATGAACATTAAACAAAATATCACAGATGTTATTAGAAGTGAATCAGGAAAGTTGGGCTTTTCTAAGGTCTAGTCTACACTACAGAGTCAGGGCCACGCAAGACAGCTTACATCGACCTAACTATGGAAGTTTCTACACTTAATCTCACTCCTGCTGACGTAACTGCCCTGTTATGCCGTCTTAATAACTCCACTTCCATGAGTGGCGTAGAGTCAAGGTCAATGTAGTTAGGGCAACGCACTGTCAGTGTAGACACTGTGTTGCTTATGTTGATTGTTACTAGCTTTCAGGAGCTGTCCCACAATGCCCCACACTGACAGTACAATTGATACAAGTGCTCCTGGTGAGGACGTGCACTGCTGACACAAGGAGCAAACTGCAGACATGCACAAGCGATGTAATTACTGTGGTGACTGTACGCCAATATATGTTAAGGCAACTTAATTTTGTAGTGTAGGTATGGCCTAAGTCTGAGCCAACTTTCTACTGAGCTGCTGCTCCACAAATGAAACACTGTTATGTGTTCACTAAGGGCTACTTTTCCAAGGAGTTTAAAGAAGAAAACAAGTAAAATCTAAAAAGGGCACATAACATTTCCCTGTGCAGGATACAGAACCCCAGCAAAATAAAAAGATAAATACATTAGCAGAAAAAGAATATGCTTTTAAACCAAACTAAGGAATACAATCATAGAATCATAGAAATGTAGGACTGGAAAGGACCTTCATAGGTCATTTGGTCCTTCCCCTGCATTGAGGCAGGACATAGTACTATGTAGACCATCCCTGGCAGCTGTTTGTCTAACTTGTTCTTAAAAACCTCCAATGACAGAGACTCCACAACCTTCCTAAGTAATTTATTCCCGTGCTTAACTACCCTTACATTTAGGAAGGTTTTCTAATTTCTAACCTAAATCTCCTTGTCTGCAATTTAAGCCCATTGCTTCTTGCCCTGTCCTCAGTGGTTACAAAGAACAATTAATCACCCTACTCTTTATAACAATTTTTACATACTTGAAGATTTATGCCCCCCCCCCCAGTCTTCTCTTCTGTAGAATAAACAAAACCAGTTTTTCCCTCATAGGTCATGTTTTCTAGGTGTTTAATCATTTTTGTTGATCTCTTCTAGATTTTCTTCAATTTAGCTATATCTTTCCTGAAGTGTGGTGCCCAAAACTGGACACAATACACCAGCTGATGCCTTGTCAGTGCTGAGTAGAGGTGGGAAAATTACTCCTCGTGTCTTGCATGCAACACTCCTGCTAATACATCCCTGAATGATGTTTGCTTTTCTTGCAATAGTATTAAGTTGTTGATCCATATTTAGTTTGTGATCCACTATAACCCCCAGACCTGTTTCTGCAGTACTTCTTCCTAGGCAGTCATTTCCCATGTGGTATTTGTGCAGTTGATATTCCTTCCTAAGTGTAGTATTTCAAATTTGTACTTATTGAATTTCATCCCATTAAATTCAGACCATGTCTCCAGTTTGTCAAAATCATATTGCATTCTAATCCTGTCCTCTGAAGCACTTACAACCCCTCCCAGCTTAATATCATACACAAACTTTATGAGCGTACTCTCTATGCCATTATCCAAATCACTGATGAAGATAATGAATAGAACCAGACCCAGGACAGATCTCTGTGGGATACCACTCAATATGCGCTTCCAGCGGGATTGTGAGCAATTGATAACTACTCTCTGACTATAGTTTTCCAGTTAGTTGTGCACCCACCTTGTAGTAGGTTCATCTAGGCTATATTTCTCTAGTTTGTTTATGAGAAGGTTATGTGAGACAGTACCAAAAGCCTTACTAAAGTCAAGATATAACACATCTACTGCTTCTTCCCCCCCTCTGCCTCCCAGCATACACAAGTCTTGTTATTATGTCAAAGTATATTAGGTTGGTTTGACATGATTTGTTCTTGACAAATCCATATTAACTGTTGCTCATTACCTTATTTTCTTCTAGGTGCTTGCAAATTGATTGTTTTGATTATTTGCTCGATGATCTTTCTGGGTACTGAAATTAAGCTGACTAGTCTATAATTTCCTGAGTTGTCCTTATTCCCCCTTTTTTAGATGGGTACTATATTTGCCCTTTTCCAGTCTTTTGGTATCTCTCCCCTCCTCCACGGATATACTCCTCTATCATTTTATCAAAAGTTAATGGGGGACTTACTTAACTTGAAGAAGGCACTACTCTCTGAAGAGTTATGCTTCCATTTCAGTAACTGCGGTTCTTTTGAAATGTTAGAATCTATGTTTACTCACCAAATCGCTTCCTTGTCCACCAGTGTGGTTCTTTAATTGCTGAGAATCTAACATCTGGGTGTAACCTGAGCCTGTCATAAAGATCGGTCGTTCCACATTTTGGCTGGCCTATTATGTAGAAATGAGGAAGACAGCGCAGCCGATAGTGCTTATCCTTATAATGATACAAGTGGTTCCAAAATACTTTTCTGAGGTAATCAAATATGGTCCGAAAACGCTTTGAATACAGTGCATATGAGTTTGTTGTGTAAGGATCTGTTGTAGTATTTCCTCTATATTCTTCATACCAACAAGGATTCTTGCTATTCGGAAGGAATTTATTAGGAATTATAGAAAACATCTGCAACATAAAGAACAATAATTTCAGTCAAGCAAAGTTTATAATGACACTTTCTTATTTAACACAATTAGTGAACACAACGCAACCATCATAATTTTTCTACTTTTTTTTTTTTTTTCCAATTGCACAACTCTGCTGTTGACCAAACTGGAGCCAGACCCTGCACAGCTGCATGAGGTGGAGAGAGGGTGCCGAGCCAGATGGAGAAGGGAGAATATTCATACACTCACCAATTTTAAGGCCAGAAGGGACAACTATAATCATCTAGTCTGATTTCCTACATAACACAAGCCATAGCATTTCACTCAGTAATTCCTACAGTGGAGGAATACTTCCTCCTGAATCCATAAGCGAATGTGATAAATCCCAGCAATTTATGGTCAAAGTACTACACTTAAGCAAGAGTCATACAATGCCTCTCAGTTCCCCTCTGGAATATGCACCTCTGTACCAACCCAATGGCTGCTGGCACTTTTAGAGTCCAGCCCAATTCCTGTCAAAGACAATGGAAAGGCTTCCAGTGACATCAATGGGGATTGGCTTAGGACCTAAAGAAACAACTGAGCCAAGAAATATTTAAGAATAAAACTGAACATATTTTCCATTGTATCACTTAATACCAGAAGTATTTTTGGGGAGGGTGCTGGGGGGGTGGGGGTTAATGAAGGAAAAGATTGAGGACAAAATCAACATAGTAAAAAAACACCTTCTGCTGTTAGCTCTATTAGGGCTATCCAGAAGCACTGTATGACTCTTGCTTAAGTGCTGTACTTCAACTACAAATTGAGCGCCTCTAGCCTCCATTTAGCCAAATCCTGAAATCCTGTCTCAAGTTTTACTCAATCTTCACTCAGGGATAAATCCCATTTCTGACTTTAGTGAAAGACTTCCCAATTTAGCCCATTGACTTCAATGGGAGCGGAGATGTTCAGCCTTCTCAGAATCAGGCCTTATCTTTATGCTGCAAGCATCGCTAAACTCTATGAAGCCTGCTGGAATTTGTAGTACTACTTAATTTAAGGAATCCTTAAAATAAGCTTGCAAAGAATAATAATTAGTAGCACTGAAAAAAAAAAGCCAAAGATAAAATAATCAGATGAAATTAACTTCCAGTTTTTAATTCTGAAATTCAAGATTTGCATGAGTGTTTGGAATACCAATTACTAGATTTCTGGGAAGGCACACTAGCAATCAGTTATTAAGGGAGGCTGTTTTTTATTTATCAGTTACATGTTTTGGCACATCTGACTAACTCCTCTGAATTATTTTGAATAAAACGACAAGGAATAAGATCAATATAATTGTACTACTCATGCAAGATTGTCAGACTTCTTTTCTCAGATGTTCAGATCATTTATATAATTCATCTGTTTTGCCTATGGCTCAAATACAAATCACACCCACACACAGAGAAACGTGCATGGAATAACAACAAATTATTGACTAAGGTGAAGATGCAAATTTACGAGACTTGTGAGCGGTCATCCCTGCTTTATGGTTCAGAAACGAGGACTATATATGCTAGGCACATCAGGAAACTGAATAGTTTCCACATGAGATGCCTGCACAAGATCCTGAAAATAAAGTGGGAAGACAAAATACCGAACACAGAGGTGCTGGAGCGTGCAGACTGACACACTTAGAATCCACTATCCAGAAGAAGAGGTTGCAATGGATTGCTCATGTCAAGAGAATGGGAGAAGACTGTATCCCCAAGAATATTTTGTACATCAAGTTTCGAGACGGCTCTAGAAAGCAGGGGTCACCCTTTATGTGGTACCACGATATGTGCAAAAATGACATGAAGTTGTTCAGCATCAATGTAGAAAGCTGGGAGGAGTGCGCAGAATCCCAGTGCAGAACATCTGGCACTGGGTGCAGCTCAACATGAAGCAGCTTTGATCTAGAGCAGGGATCGGCAACCTTTGGCACGTGGCTCGCCAGGGTAAGCACCCTGACAGACCGGGCCGGTTTGTTTACCTGCCGCGTCCGCAGGTTCACCTGATTGCCACTCCCACTGGCCACAGTTCACCGGCCCAGGCCAATGGGGGCGGCGGGAAGCAGTGGCCAGCACATCCGTCGGCTTGCGCCACTTCCCACAGCCCCCATTGGCCTGGGACTGTGAACTGCGGCCAGTGGGAGCCGCGATCGGCCGAACCTGCGGACGCGGCAGGTAATCAAACCGGCCCAGACCGCCAGGGTGCTTACCCTGGTGAGCCGTGTGCCAAAGGTTGCCAACCCCTGATTTAGTGGATGGAAGCAAAACAAGAAAGAAGAAAGCAGCGTGCAGTAATCTTAGACTACAACTCAGACAACACATGGAACTGTGAAATTTGTAACAAGCTGTGTCACTCTCGTTTTGGGCTTGTCAGCCATAAGTGGATTCATCAGGCACTTGATTAGACCTCTTATGCATACACCATGGTCCAGTGGATCGACAGTTGCATATTATACATATACAGATAAATATATTTATCTGTAGGGAAAAGACTGCAGTAGTTGGTGTTCCAGATCCATATCGACTTCAATTAGCTATACTGTTTTACCTCATCTGAGGATCCGGCCCAGAATACTTGAAATAAACAAACATACATGCATACATCAGTTTCAGGGGGAGTTTAGTTTATACTTACATGCAGTTCTTGTTTCTTCAGATCTTCTAAATCTGGACGTTGTCTGTTTATAAACTCAATCTTTGAAGTAATAGTGTCAATAATTAATTTAATGCTTGGATAATCCCTTACATATGAAATATTAATTTTAGAAGACTGGTAATGGTCTTTCGTCTCACTAAGGCTTTCATTGTCCATTAAGTTTGGGTTGCCAGTAAAAGCTCCATAATGGAATGGCGAAGGTATTAGTAATAGGCCATGTTTGGCTCCAGTCAGTATGTATGATGCCATCACTAAAGTCATTATTATCAACCCAAATATCAAGCTGCATAGCTTCCCTTTCCTCAAGCAAAAAAATCCATTCCAGCTTTCATTATGATCAGTCCTTACTTCCAAAACTGCTAGCAAGTTCATCTGCTTACTATCCACATACAAAGGAATTATATTTCCTTGTTTGCACACAGGACACTTCTGGTTAATATGATTAGACCCACGGCATCTGAAACACTGTTTGTGCAAGTCATTTGGTAATAACTGTATGCAACAATTAATGCAATGCCTCATATTAGTACCGTTAAACTGCTATATTAATGAGCCATGAATAGCCATAAAATATTTCTGATACATACAAATTATTTTCTGAAAACTTGAAATAATTTAATTCCTTGTATTATGATATATGCTGTAATTCAGAAAGCCAGGTTCACACCAAAACAGCTAAAATATGCTGAAATTAATATACTGTCTCAGTCACAAATGAAAAAAAATACAAATAAAGCTATGGTGGACATGTTTCATAAAGATTTGGCTCCTTAAGGGAAATCTAGTAAAATAAAAAGCCAACCACAAGTCTTGCTCAAGTTTTTCCCATTGAACAAAATGCGATGGAAGAAACTTCACTATATAGTGTGAAAATACACAAAAAATAAAAAGACCTCATTGTCCTCTGATGTATTTAGGAGTAAGCAATATATGTAGCCCAGACAGAAGGTGCCTTGGAAAGTCCAATATGCTCTCAAAAAAAGGTAGGTTCCAAAATGGAGTGCTGCTTCTGAAAGTTTCATCTACATAAAGGTAGCTTCAAAGATCTGTGGTGCATAACCTAAAAAAAATAAAAACAAAAAATATTTATGGGTATATGCCAATGGATAAGCCATTACATTAATCAGCTGCAATACAAGTACGATCTATCACTCGCAAACAAATTCTTAGTTAATTTAGCAACCTTAATTGAAAGGTATCTTCTACTTAAAAACAAAAAATTATAGTTACAAAATTTAAACACACTGAAAATTTGGAAACTCAGCTAAAAGCTCTCTAACCCATAATTAGACTCAGATTGAGAGCCCTTTGCTCACACTCTTGACCTGTTACTCGCGCACAAGTTGCACAATTGTCTTCAGTAATTACAAACTGTTTATTTACATTGGTGAGCAAGCTGGCCCTTTCTTCGGTGACTTCTTCGATTGAATACATGAAGGCCCTTAGGCATTGCAAAGCAAAGTGTTCGGGCACCTAAGGTGTGGAGATTAATGGAAGGAGGTGGCACACGTCAGGACCCTAATGGGTCTCTGGGTGATCGCTACTTCCCACCACAGATGTAATGAGGTTGAGTAGTGTCTGCAAAAGAGAAACTAAACAACAAATTATTTGTCAAGAAAGGTTTTTAATGACGTATGACTATAAAGGCAACACAGACAGAATGTGCCTAGCGACTTCACGTGTACTGTAACCATCTCCAACCAACACAAATTCATATGCAATACTGATACATTAATCAACTATAGTTTACTAATTTTAACCTACCTATTAACTTATTTAACAATTTATAAACTTTTACAGACTTTTATGATAAACTTGATGGTAACTTTTACTGAAGATGGGCACAGCGACATGCAAAGCTATTATTGTTTACAAACTGCTAGTTTCACCAGCGCTGTACCCGTTTCCAGCAAGGCACAAAAACATATACAGTTATTATATATTGATTAACTATTGACTACTACTATCTCTAAACAACTTAAACAATTTACTAATATAATTAAACTATAGTATTAATACAGACTTAAGATTAACTAGCTCGAGCACAACCAGACCTCTTCACTCCAAAACCTTACCCTGCATTCTTCCAAAGATACATTACCTTCAGTTGACCATTTTCTGCACTGG